CAGGAAACATAAATGTATTTCTTATCTTATTCGCTCTCATGAATTTGACAGTTGCCATGGAGTGATTAACCTTCGATAATTCCAACATAATGATAAACAGTTTTTTCGGTGTCAAATTTAACCAACACAAAGTTATTAACCTGGAAATTTCTATCCGGAACAATCACATCGTCTACATCAAAATCTTCTTCTGATGAATCGATTTCAACAAGGGCTTCGTCAGAAACGGAAACATTTTCTATTTCATCATCACTACTAATCTTCCTGTTTTTCTCATTTTTAGAGTATTTTCGATTTTTGTTGAGCTCTTTGATCATATTTTTTCTTTGTTTTTTTTTTTCTTCAATTTCTATAAGTCTTTTCTCGGGTGTGTCTTATTGAAACTTGTGGCACGTGAGAGACTAGTAGCTTCTGGGGTCCTTATCGAAAGCTGAGGTTGTCTTTTAAAAAATCCCCTTAGTCAATCTTTCGATGCAAGTTTCTTCTCTGTCCAGTTGTCTGGTATTTTTTTATTAATGGCAGTGGCGTATTCGTATACTAATTTGCGTGCTTTCAGTTTTGACATTCCATGGTTAAGTTTAAACAATGTTACAAAATATTCTGAAATTTTTTCTTCTTTATCTTTTGTGGATATTTGGGATGATATATATATTTACAAGAAGAATCTTTCACAACACCACCCTGTTTTATGTATCTTTGAAGGTTAGACCTGGGTATATCATATTTAATTGCAGTAGTTTTAATATTTCCTCCTGTAGAAACCTCTTCCAATGCACGCAAAATAACATCTTTAGAGATTTCACGTCGTTTATTTTTCTTTTTAAATAAAAACGGCATTGTCCTGAAAAGAAATGATTAACCATTCAATTCAATAGTCATAGCAAAAAAACACAAACATATGACAAAAAAACACACTAAAAAAAGAGGGAGCATTGGGTATGCCCAAACCTCCCTCCTGCCTGCGTGCCCAATGCTCCCCATAACCTCACTTTTCAAACAGATTTGAATAAGTTTATTTTTTATCAAATGTTGAATCCTAATTGTCAGGTAAATATAATGTTCATTAAACACAAAAGAAGAAGTTAACACAGATACATACAATTTCTTGCAGATTTCTTTCTTATCTTTCTTCAAATCACAAACAAAATATTTACTTTTGAACGCAACAAACTGTTAAGCGCATGTAACTTGACAACCAAGTGAAACGACAGCTGACACTTTTGATGAGGGGTGTTGCCAATTATAAAACTATAATGCTATGGTTGAAAACAAAAAATATCTAGAAGAGATTGTGAGAAATTAGGGGGTGCCCAAACCTCCCAACTGCCCAATACTCCCCTACCTCCCCTACACACACACACACATTGAAACACACATATATAAATTTAATGACAATAAAGTGAAGAAAACAATGAAAGACAATTTTAAATATTTATATTTATTTATTATTATATTTATTAACTTACTTTCAATAACTTGACGAAATTTAAGAATTCCGAAAGACTTTTTTTGAAGATCACCTTGCCCTGTCCAATTCAATTTTTTTGCTACTTCCTATTTTGCTGCTACTCCCTTCACCTTAAAAAAAATTGTTACTACTAGTAAAATAATTTAGTTCATTTTTTTTTATTAACATTAGTTATAATTCATAAAATGTTTTGCAATTGGCTACAAATTAAAAGTCAAAATACCTTAATCACAGAGGTAATTATGATCACTTTTTCCAATCTTGTTTTACTTTTGTTTAATACAGAGACAGGTGTCTGCAGACAAGACTTTTTTAATTCTTGATGTTCATTAAAATCTTGTGAGTCACTATTATAATTTTCATCAGGTTACTTCTGTACTCTAAACACATAAGTCTAATATTAAAACATAGTTTATAAAAATTTCAATGGTATATTATAAACAACTTTAAGTATACATTAAAAAGTTTACATAAAATACAAAATAATGGCGCTACTGCAGTTTCTCCCCCCCCCCCCCCTTTTTTTTTTATTTTATTGTTGATTATGATAGAGAATTTTATGCTGATTAAGAATCATAGAAAAAAATAGGTCTGAAAATCAACAGAAAGTGCTCTAAATCGATCTTGAAGTTTAAAAAATTACACTAAAAATCGCTAATATTCACCATTTTTTAAAAACGTTTTACATCAAAATATACACTTTGAAATCGATCGTTATTTTTATTACACAACCCGGTTTTTATCGTCATCAAAATTAAATTAAAATTAAATCTTTTTAGGAATATATTTTATATATTTTTAATTAGTTTTTTTAAAATAGTATAAGATATTGCTTTTAAATGTACATAAAACGATGGAAAAGTAGGGATTAGCGCAATTAAATGTAGACGCATCGACTGACAAATAGGGATTGGCACAACTAAATGCATATACATCGACTCACGAAAAAATGATGCGCTTAGCATTTTTTAACAGTTTTCCATTTAATTGTTGATAGAAACCAGGCTTTTTTAAAAAAGAATTTTAATATAATCGAGAATAAAAAAATGGCAAATATTAGCGTTTTTTAGTGTAATTTTTTAAACTTCAAAATTGATTTCTGTTGATTTTCAGACCTATGTTTTTCTACGATTCTTAATCAGCATAAAATTCTCTATTATAATCAACAATAAAAAAAAGGGGGGAGAAACTGCTGTAGCGCCAAGATATTACAACGTTCAGTAAAAATAATTTTAAGGCTAAACATTAATAGAGTTAATAAGTGCATACTTTGATCAACAAATAATCATTAAAACTTAGTGAAGTACTTGTTTTACTCAACGCCAAATTAAAAATAAATGTTGAATAAATATATAGAATAAAGGAAAATAAAGGGGATGATGATAATGATTACGAGATCATATAAAATATAGCATAAAAAATACATATATATAATGAATTTTATTTAAATACATAAAAAACACAATTTTAAATAAAATTTTAGGATGCATTAACATTTAAGCAGCTCTGGTCATAGATCAGCAAATTAAATCAGTGAATTCTTGTGTGATATTATGCTGAGAAGATCAAAATGCTAAATCACCCTCTAGTTCGTCTAGTACAATATTCTTATCACTTTTATCTGAATCGTTATCAGATAAAGCTTCAAATTCGCTAATTTTATTATCAACTTGATAAGAAATATTGAGCTTATTATCCAGAGCAGTGGCGTTGGAAGGTTCATTATCTGAAGTGTTCAATCCATGTTTTTTGCAATTGCTTTGAACGACTGTTTTGCGCAAAACGTCAATAGGCTGAGGAAAATAAAACCCAGTTTTACCTATGTAATCATAGTTATAGGCTCCATCAATAACCATTTCCCCTTGCTTGATTTCGGACAAATAAATAAATAAAAGTTAAAATAAAATAATTATAACTTCTCGAATTTTTTTCTTTCAGTCGAATAGCTTATAACTAAAACCAAGATTACTAAATATACAGGATTTGATATAATGAAAGTTATATACTTGAATGAAAACATAAATATATTTTTCTCTCCGTAAATTTTGCATTAAAAACATTTTGCGTCATGCACTTTTGTACCTTTGGCAAGCCATTAATGATACGCGTATGGTCCGGCAAAGGGCTACCCAGTTCTGGTTCGCCAGCTAAGGCCCTTAACTGGATCACATGTGTTTTGCCGGACCTGGCCCGCCAGCTCTGGCCCATTAATGTACTGCTGATTGGGAAGTCACCCTGAAGTTGTGGTCAAAGTTACCCCATAAACTTAACTTAAAGTTATATTAAATTAGAACTGCTATAAATTTGGCAACTATTATGTAATATCCATCCTATATAAATTTACTATTAGTTAAAACATCACAACTCACTCAAATAATAACAGCAGTTTCTGCCTACTCACAATTTGCAGCATATAAATTTTACAGTTTTGATAGACTCTAATGAAAATAAACAAAATTATATCTTTAGTTACGCAAACTACCATTAATCGAAGAAATATATAACAAAATAACTTTTATGATATTCTTAACAAAATATTTTTTGTTAAACTTTTTTTGTTAAATTGTGAAAATTAATTTTTATAATTTAGCTAAAGTCACCTCATTTTGCGGTACTTCTAATGTTCTTAAATAATAAAATTAGAAATAAAAAATACATAATTTGTAGTTGTAAAAAATTAGTTTAGAATGAATTATACTAGAACAAGGTTTCTGAAAATAGTGATATTGTAAACATCAACATAATAGAAAGATATGTCATATATATGCTAGAGTGATATTGTAAATGTCAATAAGTATACTAAAGTCACTCTAATAAATTAAAGCTGGTTTTGATTTTGATTTAACATAAAAGTATCTACAAACACATAATAACAAAGGGCTTTTTTTCTTATGATGTATCAGTTAATATTTTAAAGGTAATATTTTAAAGATTATTGAATCCTTCCTTTCCTATTGTAGTATAATAGTTGTCCTCGATGAACAGCACTCTTCTTCAATATTGGTGATTACGTCACATAGCATTGAAAACCTTATTTTTCTTTTTCGAGAAGTACCCAGAGTGCATAAGACGTGTTTGAAAAATCTTTAAAAACGTATTTTAAACGTTAAAACACGTATTTTGCACCCTGTGAAGAACAGATTGTATGCGAGTATTAGTTTTTTTATTAAGTTTATTTATTTTTCTGGTTTTATTTATTACAGATCATGTTACCTAAAATAATAAAAAGTATATAAGTATATAACACCTAAAATGATAAAAAGTATATAAGTATATAACACCTTGAATTATTGTTGAAAATAAAATTAAAAAAAAAACATTTTCTATGTTGTTATTTTTTCTATGTTATGTTTTCTATGTTAAAAATAAAAATAACTTTTTAAAGACGTCTACTTTAGTTATGGTGAAAAACGTTTAAAGTTAATTTTGTTAATGTTATTTGTTTTAACAAAACTTTTATTGTATTAAATATGTTATTAAAAATAATTATTTTTATAATCATAAATGATATTTTCTTTTTTTTACTTATTAGAATCTAAAAAAAGTTCAAAATAGAGTTCAATTATTTCGATTCTCACGACGTATTTATCCGAATGTATCTAATGTTAAGGTATCCTTTATAAATTATTTTTTAATTATTTTATTGTGATTTTTGTTTTACTCTCTTTTAATACATAAAATTTTAATATATAATTAAATTTTTTTCATTATTCTTAGGACGCAGAAGCACCGCAAAGTACGTCCTTAACAGTTAATTCGCAGAAAAACACAAAGTATAACGTTGATTCCTGCAGATTAAATGATATTCTCAGTACTAAGTATAAATCCAGAACTGAAGCTGATGAGAAAAGTGACTTATAAAATGTAGTCGTAAAACAAAACTGAAGTCATCTAAAATAACAATCTAGTTTTATCCTAGTACTAAGTACGAATTTGTAAATGGTAGTTTCAAATTATATACATTATGCTCCTTTGTTTGTAGTATGTTCTATCACATTATAATGATAAAAGTTAAATTACTACGGAATTAGAAGAAACATTGATTTGAGTAAGCAACAACTTAACTATTATATTTCGATATATCGATATTTATCGAAATATCAATGATATACCGATATTTTTAATAAATCATATTAAAAGATATAATTAAAAGTGACTTTTCTGATCGTTTTTTTTTTATTTATTTCAATATTGGTACTAAATTAATACATCAATAAAAAATAAGGTCTTTACCCAAGATTTTTTATCGTAAAAATAAAAAATTCGAGAAAAAAGTAATAACTCTGAAGAAATTAATTTTCATGCTATTACAAGTGATTTTTTAAACAAATTCTTATATCTTTAATTATTTTGATTTTAAAAATGGATTCAAATTAACATAAAATTTTTGAATCACTATTTTTTAAACAATTTCAATTGAAAAATGTTTTGCCGCATGCTTTCTTCGTGAACGTGTTTTTACAGCATAAGAATTTTCTTTAAAAAATAAAAATAATAATAATAAAAGTTTATTAATTTTAGTTTTTAGTATTTAATTATCTTTATAACCGGAATTATTCTTCAAATTTATCAAACTATCTTCAAATATTTTGCAACACTCATTTTTTGAAAAAAATGGAAGTTACAATGAAAAATATTGAACGACTTATATCAACAAAACTCGAAGAACAAAAGAAATATATTCTCAAAGAAACTGACAAACTTCTAAAAAACCATGAAACATTTACAAATATTATAAGCTCAAATCTGAAAATTATCACGTATAGACTTGATAAACTCGAAAGCGAAATTAACACCAACAAATCAAAAACTTCAACCTTAAAAAAAACTTTAGAGATATCAAAGAAACCTTTAACTTCCAAGAGGAAAACTTCACAAACAAACTAGCACACATGAGCCAAAAGTGTAATGATGAAATTAGTATATTAAAAAAGAAGATTATAGATTTGGAAAACAGATCACGTCGTAACAATCTAAGAATTGACGGAGTATCCGAATCTAACTCTGAAACATGGAGTGACTGTGTTAGCATAGTAAAAAATATCTTTAAAAACCAATTGGGAATTGCAGAGGACATAGTAGTTGAGGAAGCCCATCGAGTAGGACAAGTAAATGAAGACAAGCCGCGAACGATAATTCTAAAACTTTTAAATTTTCATGAAAAAAGCAAAATATTATCTTTAGCAAAAAAACTTAAGGGCAGTGGAGTATTCATAAATGAAGATTACGTAAATGAAACTTTAGAAAAACGAAAAAAGCTTTGGAAAGAAAATAAAAAGACACCGAAAAGAAGGTAAATTTGCAATTATCAAATATGATAAAATTTTTGTACGAGAGTTTCGGAAATAAGTTAAATGCTTAACCTCAATTTTATAAAAATAAACTCTTAATCATGCGCAATGGCTTACAAAACAATTGACTATGAAACCAATTAAATTTTTTTGAAACTGATAACAACATTTTACTTAACGACTTTTATGACGCAGATAAACAGGTTTTTAAAGAATTAGATTTTAATTTGCAATACTATGACACTGAAACTTTTAAAACGCTATTAAAAACATATATAAAAAATTTCACTGTGATACACATCAATATTAGAAGTTTAAGTTTAAATATAGACAAACTAAAACACTTTCTTTTAGAATCCAATTTTTTATTTAACATGATTTGTCTCCCAGAATCATGGTGTGATGATGAGTCAGCTCAAAAAAATTCAAATTTTCAGATTCCTAATTATAAAATAATTTCATCTGAGAGAAAAACGCTCAAAAGGGGAGGCGGAATTTTAGTTTACATTCGTAATGACCACGATATCAAAATTAGAAAAGACCTCTCGATCTCTAATTCAGACAGTGAGGTCCTAACAATTGAGATAATAATTAAAAATACAAAAACGTTGTATGTTCTACTTATAGGCGATGTTATTCAGTTTTCAAATTATATGCAGCAAATTTTAATCAAAAGCAATAATGAACAAAAATGATTATTCTGCATCGGTGACATCAACATAAATAGTTTAAAGTACAATGAACACCCTAATACTAAAATCTTTTTTGACAATATATTTCAACACGGCATAATCCCAATCATTAATAAACCAACTCGTGTTACAACAACTTCCATTAGTGCTATAGATAATATTCTAACTAACTCTTTTCTAGATAAGTCTATTAAAACAGGAATAATTAAAACTGATATTTCGGATCATTTTCCTATTTTCTTTTCTTTTGCTGAACATGCAACCATAAATGATAATTCTAAAATCAAAGTCTTGAAACGAAAAATGAATGAACATTCTATGCTTAAATTTAAAAAATCTTTATCAACTATAAATTGGATAAATGTATACCAAGAATGTAACCTTGGACACACAAATTCCGCTTATAATCTATTTCTCGACATCTTTCTTGAATATTATAACAAACATTTTCCAATACAAGAAATAGAAGTCAAAACAAAATATTTAAAATGTCCTTGGATTACACGCGGAATAAGAAAATCTTCAAAAAAAAAAGCAAAAATTATACATCAAATATTTAAAAAACAGAAACGAAGCTAATCTTAATGCCTATAAAAATATAAAAATCTGTTTGAAAAAATAAATCTAAAAAAAGATATTATTCTTAACAATTAAAAAATAATAATGGTAACATAAAGAAAACGTGGGAAGTTATGAAATGTCAGATACCAATGATTTCATTGGTAAAAAAAAAATTGTATCTGACATTTTACCCTCCAGAATAACGGAAAACGATATTGAATACAAAAACAAAAATGATATATCAGAAATATTTAATCGTTTTTTTTTAAACACTGGTCTAAACCTGGCATCAAAAATAAAAGGCTCAGAAACATCGTTTCAAAATTATTTTAGCGATTTTGAAATTCATTGCTAGATAGTAATTTAACTTTTGATGAACTAGAAACAGCGGTGTCCTATGATTCAACCGAATCTCTAATTTCAATTTAGAACCGAATATGAGAAATTTATTACACAACCGAAAATATTTACAAAAAAAAATTAGAACCGAAAAAATTTCGATCGAATTTTCGATCGAAAGTTTAAGATGGTTTACAACCGAAAGTTACACTTAATTAATTACAATTAAGTGAGCGTTTTTAGAAAACGATGAGGGAAAACGAAGAATAATGAATGAAAAGGTTGCTGAGCCATACCAAACCCTCAGTCGATGTAGCAGCACTCCACTGCGAGTCAGGCTATTTGTCAGTCAATGTATGTACTGAAGCCCCCAGCAGCAGGCTATTTGACGTTAGGTGAGTATGACATCATCATGCTCACCTAACTCAGCAGTATAAGATATATGTATTTTTATTTTAAAGAAATTTTAACTGTTTATTTTATTGTAAAACGACTAACTGAAAAAAAAAAAAAATAGATTAAAAAAAGAAAGGATTTTGTACTTCGATCCAAATTTTTCGGTTGTAAAATTCGGTTTAAAAACATTCGGCGCAAGAAAGGATTTTGTAATTCGATCCTGCAATGAAAGTATACTTTTTGGTTCTAAAATTTTCGGTTGTGAAATATTTCGGTGATATTTTCGAGGATAAGTATTTTCGGCTCTATCATGTGACACGGAAACAGCAATCAAATCAATTAAAAAGAATAAGGCCCCAGGTATTGATGACATCTCTGGCAATGTTGTGCTTTATATTTTTTCTGTAATAAGAAAGCCTATTTTTAATATCTTCAGCTCTTCAATGTACCTAAATGTACCTAAGTGTACCTCCGTACTCCGTACTCCTGTACTCCTGGTAATGATAAACAAAAAGAAAAAAACGTTTAGATGACAAGAATTTTAGAAATAAAGTTTACATAAAAGTAATATAAGAAAGACGATATAAGAAAGTGTCGTAATGATAGAAAATAAACAACTATATACTAATTAGTTATTAATTTGCATGAAACTATTTTACAAATACTTTTATTATATAACAGTATATGTAAAAGTAAAATTCAAGCAGATATAAATTATATCTCTCTGAATTAATACCTCTCCTTTATAAATCGCTCAATGTAAGACAGTCTGATCTTTATTACAGTACAATGATTAAAATTCTACAACTATAAAATAATTAATAATTAGTTGATAGTTGTATAATTTCTGTTTAAACTGAATAAATTAGTTATATAGTTATGTATAATTAGTTTACAAATATCTGTCTGAATTATACCCTCCCCCTGAGTAAATTACTAAACTTGCCTCTGAATTATTTCCTTTTTCCTAGCTAATCATTTAATAAAAGATGGTGTGGTAATGGTATTGAGTGGTGCAATAAATATTGAACAACTTTAAACTTTTAGTTATATATTTAATTAAAAATACTTAAAAAAATACATCTTTAAGTTTCAAAATTATTACCTCCCCTTAGTAAATCGTTTAAATTAAGACGGTGTGGTAATGGCATGAAGTGATAGTAATCGGAATTATGCAACTATATATATCAATAAGTTATAAGATTATGTAAAAATGGTTTACAAGTATAATGTCTGAATCATCACATCCCCCTAAGTAAATCATGCAATACAAAATGTTTGAATCTGGTATTGAATGATATAAATTATTTTTATATTTTACTGTAATTGGAAGTTTTTAAAGCTTTTGATATTTAACTTGTAGGACTTTTGTTTTCCTATAGGAATATAGAATAAAAGTGTTATGCTTACTTTAATTAGTAAAGTTATTAGTCCAACATATCAATATTATTTTAGCCTCATTTAAAGATATTGTGATGTTATATTGGTATTTGATTTTTTTCCAAACTATCACATTAATTTTTTGGTATGTATATATGCTTTTAAGTTCTATGTTTGCTATTTCATATGTTCTACAAAAACTAGTATTGATTTTTTTATATTTTCATTTAAAAATTATTTGTTTTATGCAAATTGAAAAGTATTTCTTTATTTAATAATTTTTTTTTTTGCCTATTTGTTTTAGTTCGACA